ATATAGGACATGCTTTTGCACCTTTGACTGTGTAGCCTGAAAGATTGCCATATGCTGGAAAATCATTTATAGTGCAATACAACATAGCACACATTTGAAAATAAGATTTGGTATGCATGTCATATGTTGTAACACCTTCAGTCCACAGCAGTTTGAGATCATCAATAAGCGGTGCAAGGTACACGTCAATATCATTACCCGGTTGTTTGGGTCCCGAGATAAGAAGAGACAACATGATGTATTTACGTTTCATGCACAACCATGAAGGCAAATTGTAAATAACCAATAGAACTGGCCAAGTGTTGTGTTGACTATTGAGTGTACCATATGGATTCATACCATCAGTGCATAGGCCAAGTCTCAAATTTATGTCCTCTCTGCCGAATTCAGGATATTTCAAGTCAATTTGCCTCCATTGCGGAGAATCAGACACATGACGCAAGTACTCATCTTTTTTTCTACCCTGAGAATGCCAAACTAAATGTTTGGAATCTTTTGCATTCATGAATAACCTTTTAAATCTCGGAATAATGGGGAGATACCACAAAACTTTTGCAGGAATTTTGGAAAACTCAGTGTCACTAGCACTATTTGTACTCCTTTTTGCCTTATAGCGAGAAAGATGACATCTTGGACATTCATCAAGATTTTCGTACTCATTCCGGTACAACACACAATCATTTGGACACGCGTGGAATTTCTCCCATTCAGCTCCCATAGGACACAGTAACTTTCTTGCCTTGTAAGTGGTATCAGGAAGTGTATTCCCTTCGGGCAACATCTCTTGAATTAATGTCAATAACTCTGTGAAACTGACATTACTCCATCCATGTTTCGCTTTCAAATGAAATAACTTCAAAACCGCAGACAGCTTCGTAAAAGTAGAGGTAGAATACAAAGGTATTCTGGCGGCATCAACCATACTTTCATATGATTTTGGTTTTTGTTCAAAATTATCATGTACATCCTTCAAAAACTCATCCATGTGATCATCATTGAAATCATCATCACCACTATTTTCATTATTCCAATTTAAGTTGGTGGTAGTATCGGGGGCTTTGCGCTTTAAATTACTAGCGGCGGCTCGCGGAACAACATTCTCACCATCCTGGAAAGTCTCTCCATGTAAAGTCCAAATGATGTAATTTTCTCTAAAGCCTCTCTCAAACAGATGTTGAAGTATAACATTGGTGTCACTCTCTCTTCTCAAGTTCCGGCACTTTAAACAAGGACATAAAATTCCTTTATGTCCATGTTGTTTCTGGTGTGTAACGGCAGCTTTGATGAACCCATTCGCACCAATGAAAAACTCAGACGTGTCTCGACGTCCATACATCCAAGAACGGTCCATTTTGAACGAAATTCTACATTTGTCCAATAATCATATATCATATAATGTGCATATAAGCAATATCATATACTCCCTCCATAATGTTAACCAAGTAATAATGTTTTATCAGATGCAGCTGCACAAGGGGTACAACAAGATCAAATCATATTCACAGATGTTGCAATGAAGCAGGAGCATATAAGACGCAGTTCTTTGGCGGATTTATTCCTTGACACGTATGGAATACCATGACCCCATTTCCCATTCATTTTAAAGGAGTATACCAGAAAACAAAATTATTTCTACTAGCTTCATAGTTTCTATGTGAATGAAAAGTTTCAACCAGAATACCAGAAAAAAGTTTCTATGTATACCATTCATTTTATTTTGTGAATGAAATGACCCCATTTTCCATTCATTTTAAAGGAGTATACCAGAAAACAAAATTATTTCTACTAGCTTCATAGTTTCTATGTGAATGAAAAGTTTCAACCAGAATAGCATGAAAATTATTTCTACTAGCTTCATAGCTTCAGAGTATGGAATACCATGACCCCATTTTCCATTCATTTTAAAGGAGTATACCAGAAAAAAGTTTCTATGTGAGTGAAATGTATTCAACACTACTGAACTAACACGAACTAAAACCAACCAATCTTCCATCTCAGTGGTGGCCATTATTCATTCGGGTATAATCAAATAATTATTACTTCAATAATTACACATACTATAATCAAATAAAATACATTGATAACGCTGTCAAATAAACAATTAATAAATTATAATTAACTGTGAGCCGAAGCGGTCCAAAAAAATCAAAGTACAATCAAATAAAAATGAAAAACATAATATATATGCCAAAAAATTAACAAATAAACTCACTTTTATCAATGTAAGTATAATTCCCACTTGATTAAAAATTAAGGAATCCTAAACATGGGAACAATGGATCTCATATGTAATATACATTAATCTGAAAACATTTAAACTAAAATTTAAACTAAAATCAAATAAAAGTGAAATCAACCAAAATATACCAAAAACTTAATTAAAAAATAAACTGACCTGGGATGTGGGCCGGAGAAGTCGACGGCGTGCCGGAGTAGTTGCAGGCGTACAGCGGCGGCGAGCGAGCCTACGGCGTACGTGCGGGCGGCGGTGCGGTCGAAAGGTCGCGGGCGGCGGTGCGATCGAAAGGTCGCGGGCGGCGGTGCGGTCGAAAGGTCGCGGGCGGCGGTGCGGTCGAAAGGTCGCGGGCGGCGGTGCGGTCGAAAGGTCGCGAGCGGCGGTGCGGTCGAAAGGTCGCGGGCGGTGCGGCTGCTATTTGGATCGGAAAAGCGCTTCTAGGTGATGTTTCCGTTCCCAGGTGTTTCCGTTTCCAGCTGCGGCTAGGTTTGGACGACGGGGTATTTTTTTTGTTTAAAATTGGAGGCGTTTCGTACAGAAAAGCGCCGCACGCAGGGATTTTTTTTTAAAAAAATACGAAATTTTAGAGGCGCTTCTAGCCCAAGCGCCGCACTCGTGGCCCAATTCCATTTAAACCGGGGAACTTAGAGGCGCTTCTACCCAAGCGCCGCACGCGTGGCCCAATTCCAAAAAAAAACGGGGCAATTAGAGGCGCTTCTTTCCCTAAGCGCCGCACGAGTGGACGGATTTCAAAAAAAAAAACCGGGAATCAAATCGGAGGCGCTTCTTAAAAGAAAGCGCCGCACGAGTTAAAAAAAAAAATTTAAAAAAATTATTGGAGGCGCTTTTTTCAATAAGCGCCGCACGGTTTTAAAAAATTTTAAAATAATAATTTTAACGCCAAATAGAGGCGTTTGTGCTGAAAAGCGCCTCAAACGAAGCGCCTCTATTTGACGTTTTTCCACTAGTGTCTCAGCCGACAGGATATTAGGTATAGGCTTCGCTCTTTTCTTCAGCCGCGAGAGGTTTGCTGAAGACCGTCGGATGACCTGGCGGGGATTGGTGGAGACCAGTCCAACGGTCATGTTTTCTTGGGTTGCGACGGTCTGGTTTTCGCGAGAAGTATATGATAACTAATCACTTAACTTCATTATGTTATAAATATAAGTAATAGTAAAATTTAGGTATATATACAAACATATATAGTCTTTATTTACAACTTCATTTCTTTATATTTGTGGCTAAAGTTAAAGTCCTTATATCGCTTAGAAAATTAAAATTAAAAAGTAAAGTAATGTTCGGAGAATCTAGACGGCCTAGACGGCCGATTAGGCGCTCTGGGCGAGCAACTAGGCACCATAGGCGGTGACTAATTTACCTAGATGACAAACCAATTAATCAGAGCGCCTAGATGAAAATGGGGGTGCCCGGCCACCGCCTAGCGTCTAGACAAGGACTAGTCAGATGCCTAGAAGGAATTTTAGAACAGAGGTATATATGGGTAGGGTTCGCTTCATTGAGGTGTATTCTTTTTTTTGAATGGTTATTGAATATTGAGGTGTTTTCTCTATTCATTATTAATTAATTGTACACTTTTTTGTCTTATTTTAAGCATGGTCGTATAATTGTCCATTAAACTCTAGGAGCAATATCCCAGTAATTATTTTTATTTACATTGTGTAATTGTTATGGGCAAAGAATTAGATTACCAATCATCTTCTGACAACACATCAAACTTATTCCGCTAGTCAAACTGGTTGATCAAATCCGTTATTAATAACTCGTTAACATAATCTGCTGTCTCGTCGATCAGGGCTATCAGTGCTAGTGCCAAAACACACTGTATGTCCACGGTACAACTAGCTCCTGTCCGCTATGTAGCACTGATACGGGTATGCGGAAACGCGGAAACGGGTACGGAATACGACAAAATCAAAAAAGCATGATACAGATACGGGCCATATTTATAAATATTAAAAGTTATGGGGTTGTATTAATAAATAGGGAAAAATAATAAAAATACCCCAAACTTTGAAGGGGTGTGAGGTAAACACCCGAAACTTGTATATGTAATTTAAATACTCCAAACTATATATAAGAAGTTATTTTCGTATCATTGTCATGTATTATTTCTTTCAAAAATGTAAATTTATGGGGTTAATTGCATAATTTAAAATAACAAAATTAAAAGTGTTGCAATTATATAGATTGAGGGGTAACATTATTTATATTGCAATGGAAGTTTAAAATGTTAATTGTATCCTCACGAATTCTAAAATATTTTAAATTATGCAATAAACACCATAGATTTACATTTTTGAATGAAATAATACTTGCCTATGGTGCTAAAATAACTTTTAATATAAAGTTTGGAATATTTAAATTATATATGAAAGTTTGGGATGTTCATCTCACACCCGTTCAAAGTTTGAGGTATTTTAGATATTTTTCCCTAATAAATATTAAAAGTTATAAGGGTGTATTTACAAATATTAGAAATACAATTTTCTTTGAAAAAATATACATATATTATCCTCTGACGTCTACCCATTCATGACATTGAAGCATTTTACATTTTCAAGACATTTAGAAATCAATTCAAATTTTTTATCTCATATACACTAATACGTCTCAAAATATAAACATAGTCAATAAATCATTAATTAAAATATTACTTTTAAAATAAAAAGCAATATTTTAAAAATTCTAATACATATTTGTGTTGGAGCTATTAATATCGAGGATAATAAGAATTATGGTTAGGAGGATAGACCTATTATTTTAAAAATTGCAAACACTAGTCTACGGGCCCCGTGCGAAGTATGCGACTATGCGAGTCCCGTCTTAACCATACGCATCCTGGCCGTCTCCGATGCTTCGACCTCGATCCTGTCAAACACAGTCTACGTGTCCGAGCTTCGAGCCTCCGAGGTATGTCTTCTGCACACAAAATCTCCACTGTCTTCGGTGGATTTGCTCCATAGTAGAAACCTAGAATAGAAGCCGGATAGGTCTGATAACGATTCTGCATATATTCTCGTGATTTTAAAGCTCATTCGTGCTAATTTTGTTCTGCAATTCTGAAATATGATGACTGAGGTGGAGTTTTTTTTTGTCTTTCAGTTCGGTGTATTTCTTTAATGATGATTATTATTGTTCTATATACACCCATCTCAACATTTTAACTTACACTGAAGTTCAGAAAGCTATACCTTATTTCTCAGGGTTTAAATTCTCTATCGATTATGGATCAGAAAATGAATGTGTATATTTGGGACATGGATGAGACTCTTATATTGGTCAAGTCTTTGTTAAATAAGCAATTTGCGGAGTCCTTCAACGGTTCAAAGAATTGGATTGCTGGTGTTAGGATTGGGAAAGCTTGGGAGAATCATGTTCTTCAAATATCTGATGACCATTTCTTCTATGAGCAAGTGTGTCTCAACTTCTTGATTTCTTTTCTGTTTTCCAAAACATGTGGCCTTTAAAATCTTCATACTAGTTTTTTGTGATTTGCTCAGTTTTACTTTAATCCTTGTACAACACTTTATGCATTTTCAGATCGAGAATTTCAACATGCCGTACCTAGATATTTTCAGCCATTATGATGATGATCGGGATCTCACTGATTATGATTTCAACAATGATGGATTCGGTCCTCCAGTTGATGATGTGAATAAAAGGAGATTAGCGTACAGGCATCGAACTATAACAGAAAAGTACACAAAGGTACTTATGGGATATTTCCGGCCATACGTACTGTTTTAGTACTCCCTTCGCCTTAAATTATTTGTTTGCAGGGGTTGCATGGCATTCTTAATGAGGATATGAGAAAATGTTGGGAAGATCTTTATGAAGAAACCGATACTTATACAGATAGATGGCTCTCATCAGGTAATTACCATCCTGGTTATTTAGAACATAACTTTTCTATACAAACCTTCATAGTGTATTAAATTGGAAACATTTCATTGAAAACAATCATCCCAAACACACCCCAGAGCTCTCCACTGAAACCATGAAGATAATGTAAATATGTAATTTCATTTCTATTATGATTGGCTTTCTCCATTTTAGATCTTGCAGATGGCAACTTAACTTTGGAGAGCAGACAATACTTATTTCCTGCTCTTCCCAAAATGAATTTCTTAGATATGTTTTCTTGTTTTGTAGACAGGAATTTGGGTGTTCTTTGGTTAGTGCATAAAAACACAGAGCCATGATTTTTAATATCCTATGTATGTGTGTTTTGCTTTTTAGCTCGGGCTTGCTTGGAACAATGTGCTAGTGGGAACGCTGAGCTGACTCCCGGTGACTGCTCGGCTGCTGGTGCTAATGATGGACAGGGTTCTAAATACCAACATGTTAATGTCCTAGTGACTTCTGGGGCACTCATACCGAGCTTGGTTAAATGCCTGCTCTTTCGACTGGGTGATATGATTTCTTGTCAGAACGGTTAGTTCCTCTCATAAAACTTTTATCTCGAAACGGTTTGCTATTTGTCGTCGTCATCATCATCATTATCATTACTCCAGTGCATAGGTACAGGGATCGCAAACTTAGCAACGATTTCCGTTCCGGATCGTGCTTTCTGGATCGCGGAACAATCGCGTTCGGAACGCTTGAGGTTCGCGTTTCTGGTACGGCGCATCCAGGTCGCAGTACGCGTGCTTGTTCCGGCGGGTACGCTGATTCTCCTTCATCCCGTTCGCTGTTCCCTCCAACATCCAACGAATCGGCAGTCCAACCGTCGTGAATTTTGAATAGTTTTATCGAACTCCAAGCCATGGTCGCCGGTTGAATTCTTCGCCGTTCCAGGACTGAGGAGCGTCACACAGTACGAACTTCATACCCTAAATAACTAAACGACCTGACTTTTCATTTGTTAGTGTGAAACGACTTTTCATTCGTTTTTCACACTTAACGTTTGATGCAATCACACTTATTTAAAGGCCAGTACTCAGCGTATCAAGCATTCAAGCTCTCTGCACCTCTCTAGTCTCTACTCTCTGTACTCAGCATATTCTTTTCTTCAAAATGGTATTTGGCAAGCTTAAATATCTAGAAACACAGTCCGATGATATCACAGATATTACCGTGAGTGATGAAGAAATAATAGAAACTGCTCCTACTCCAGTTGCTACAGAAGAGGTCTGCACCGGAAGTCAAAGTTCAAAACAGGATAGCAAAGATGACAGACCTTTATTAGAAGAAGTAACCTTTATTGGAGCTCCAACCTCTAAAAATGCAGGGGTGCCAAGGTTTGGATATGTAAGCATTGTAATCAAAGATTTACAAGCTCTTACACTAGAATACATGTCCATTTCTTTGGTTCTCAACCGGGGAAGAAGGCTGAAATTAAACGGTGCCTTGCTTTGCTCAACGATCGGGAGAAGTATGAACGCTCGTTGAATAAAGTCAAGGCGGCTGAAAAGGCGGGAGTCTCTCGATCCTTGAAAAACTCTATGCTCAATAAGCACAAAGTATTCCTTCAAAAAAACCAATTCAAGACTCCTTTGGAATAATGGAGAGAAGTATGGTGGATTTGAAAATTATGAGAGGATTGTGTGCAAACGGTATTCCCTTTAATGTACTGCGCAATCCTCAATTTATAGAAATGGTAAGTGCCATCAACAAGGCACCCGCGGGTTACAAACCTCCATCCAGTGAGAAGGCAAGGACGGTTTTGCTAGATGAATGCGTTGAAGATGTGGAAAAAGACCTCACACCGGTTAAAGATACTTGGTATTCACAAGGTGTTTCCATCGTATCCGATGGGTGTTCGAATATCAAGTACAAGCCCTTGATCAATGTCATTGCCGTCAACAGTCGCGGTGCAATGTTTATGTATGCGGAGGACTTCTCTGGGTTGGAAAAAACCGGTGTGGCAATTGCGAATTTCTTGCTTGGAGCAATTGAAACTGTATGACCGAGCAATGTCCTTCAAGTTGTGACCGACAACGCATTGAATTGCAAAGCTGCGGGTAGGGAAATTGAGAAGGTACATAAACACATCTTTTGGTCTCCTTGTTGTGTTCATACCTTGAATTTGATTTTCAAAGATCTTGCCAAAGAACTTGATTGGTTGATGAATACATATGCAAGAGGGAAAGTTATTGTGAAATATTTTCTTAATCACACCCAAGCGTTGACAATTTTTTAGAGATAATTTAAAGCTGGTGTTGTTGAAAGTTGCCAAGACTAGGTTTGTGTCATATTATATTTTGTTGAAAAGGTTAAGGGATTGTAGAGAGGCTCTTGCTACAACTATTGCCCTTAATTGTTGGAGGGATTGAGTGAAGCAAGGGGATGAAAACACTAGAGTGACCGGACTGCTAGTCGCTGATACTATTAGGAGTGAGGAATTTTGGGATGATGTAGATAATATTCTTGCAATAACAAGACCAATTTTCTTGTTAATCAAGTTTTGTGATGGTGAAGGATCGAAAATGGAGGAAATCTATGAAAAATAGATAATATGTTGGGAGAAATAAAAGATATCATGGCTACAAATCAATACGCTTCGGACTTTCCAAAAGTAGAAGCTATTTTGTTAGCTAGGTGGGAGAAGATGACTATTCTCTTGCATTGTTTGGGTTTTGCTTTATCTCCACGATTCTATGATGTTTGTTATCTCGAGAAATTAGCACCCGGTGGAGTTGCTATAAAAGCTCCATATTTGGACAAAGAAGTTGTGTTAGGTGTGATGGAGGCTTTTAAAAAAATTGGTGAAAACCAAGAAGAACAACGGCTCTTGAGAGAACAATTATCAAGGTTTCACATGAAGAAGAGATTATTTTCTATGGCGGCAGCTCAGATGGATGCGGTGACTATGGTGGCCATTGATTGGTGGTCAACATACGGTTCAGAGACACCCGAGTTAACGGAGGTTGCAAAAAAAGTTTTGTCACAACCTATAAGTAGTTCCTCGGCTGAGAGGAATTGGAGCACCTACTCTTACATTCACAGTGTGAAAAGAAATTGGAGCAATTGTAAACGGGCTGACAAGTTGGTGTTCATTCATTCAAACATTCGTCTTCAATCAAGATTTTCTGAAAGTTACAAAGTTGGGCCAAATAAGAAGTGGGACATTAATCCTGAAAGTGCGTATGTGGTAGGGTCAAGTGCAAGACTCGATGAGCTAGAATGGGAAGATTTAGAAGAAGATGTTGGTACTAATGATAAAGGAAAGGGGCCAAGGATTGACTAGTTTGGTGCACACTTATGTTTAATGTTTTGTTGAATTTTATTTAATGTTTATTACTTTGTTTCCTGTTTTTTTGAAGTTGTTGCTGGAATCCTTAAACTTTGTTTACTGTTTTATATCTTTTATTGTTGTTGCAAACATTTTTAAGTTTGTTTAATGTTATTGAAGTTATAAAAGTTAATTGTTTAATATTATACTTGTATTAATTATATTTATACTTAGTAAATTCAATATGTTTATGGTTCACCATACCATAAACAAAGGGTACAACGTACCACGTACCGAAATCGCGTACCGAAGAAGCCTACCCCCATACGTATCAGATTTCTAATTTTGGCGATCCGCGTTCCCGTTTTCGTACCGCGTACCGAAGCGTACCGTGATCCATGTGACTTTGCTCCAGTGCCGCAAAGGCTTTCACCTACGGTGGGGTAAGGGGGGTCGAATGTACGCAGTCTTAGCCCTGTAGTAAAGCACAAAGAGACTGTTTCCGGATGACCCATAGTGAAAATCGCGTCAAAAATTGCATGGACTGACTGTTGCTTCATAACAAAGAAGCACATACAGTTTAGTGAGCTCATTTGCTTTATTCCATCATATTCCCAAGCCAAAAAATAGTGAGTCTTTGGCTCCATTGCAAATGATGGAAAAACGGTTTGCTATTTGTATCTGTATATATTCATTTAAACCTTTTACAATTTCATTTCACATTAAGCCTGTTAGCCTTCCCAAACCTCAAAACCTCCTCCCCAAATGATCAAACTTCAAAGTGGCCTACCGTGTGAATTGAATCAAAATGTGCACAAAGTCAAACCCTCTTGTTCTTTACGAGACTGGTTAAGTATTGTAGCCAATACCGAGGATTTATAGTTTTAGTACACAACAATTATGTACTTACATTGATAGCGGAACTCTATAGTTTCTGTTTTATCATCCGAGGGGCACAATGATAGGGACCTACTTATTAGAATAATATTAGAAGTAATAATAATAATAATATTAGTAATAAGGGTCTCTAGTATAAATAGATGGGAAGGGGAAGTAGTAAGTAGGCTTTTGGACTCTTTGTCTTGGGACTTGGGAAGACTGAGACTAGTAATCTCTTTCTTGGGAGCTTCGGCTTTGGGGGCTTCTGCCTTTGTACAGATTACTGTTCATCTTCTTGGATTCAATAAGGTTTTTCCATTGTGTTTCTTATTCATCTTTCTGTAATTGTTCTGGATTCCTGGAGGTTCCTAACATTGGTATCAGAGAAGTCGATCGCTGAGATACACACGCGTGAAAATGGAGGGACGACTCAATGAAGTGGAGAGGAAACAGCGTGAAATGCAAGCTAGGATGGCAAATATAGCGGCTAATATGGCTGTGATGCAAGCGGAGATGCAAGCTAGCGTCGCAGAATTGCAGAACCGACTTCAAAGTCGTTCGCGGCATACATCGCACCATTCTCACCCTTCGCATAGGTCGCACCATACTTCGCACAAGGGACACCCAAGAAATTCCGACCACGGAGAGCATGGTAACAGCGAACATCGAGCGAGGAGCCCTAGACATCGTTTGTCGCAGTTGCTCACAAGTTCGCAGGCTGAGTCGTGAACTACTTCTCTTGACTCGCAATCGCGAACTTCTTGTCACTGTTCACAGTCGCGAACAGTTTCTTTCAGTTCGCAGACGTCCTCACCCGCCATCGATTCACTTCCAAGAAAGACGCGAGTGAGAGGAGAATATTCCTCCTCGCCAATCCATTCTCACTGTTCGCGTTCTTCGTATGACGTCGCTCCTCCAAGTTCACAAGCAATTTCTTCAGGACCTCTGGTTTCTAGGAAAACAGAAGACCCCATTTCGCAATATCACTCTGAGTCCCCTGAATTGCATCAGGAGTTGACTAATCAGCAGAATGGTGACAAGAAAAACAAGAAGAAATCATCAGATAACTTTGAATATGAAGCTGGTGCCGTTGCTGAACTCACCAGAGGTAAGATTTTTTCCACGTACTATCTGGACCAGCCAAACCTTGAAACGAATAGGTTCAAGTTTCTTCAGATAGGTAATGTTCCTTCTCACCTTGTACAGCTGATGAATTGGCCAAATGTCTTCAACACCGAAACGATAGGTTGTCAGTCATCAAAGATTACGTTAGAAGGAATGAACACTTCTGATAGCCTTAGAGTGGAAAGGGTTACTTCTAGGAAGAATTTTCAAAAAGAATTGGTGAATGATGTGTCTATGGACAAGTATGTTGCTGATTCTGACAGCCAGGATCAAGTTATTGGGGATAAAAAGGGCTTGGGAGCTTCGGCTTTGGGGGCTTCTGCCTTTGTACAGATTACTGTTCATCTTCTTGGATTCAATAAGGTTTTTCCATTGTGTTTCTTATTCATCTTTCTGTAATTGTTCTGGATTCCTGGAGGTTCCTAACACACAAATGCAGTCTTGTATCTTTTAGATGGTATTCTTAAAATGCCTTACACATGAGTCTTTAGTCATATCTGTAACCCCCCCCCCCTAAATTTGGCTTCCATTATAAACTAAATCAATGTGTCACTGCATTTCATCGCCTACAGATCATGTGCTCCCTTATTTGATAGTTTGATTAAATACAGTGTTTACATGGACATTTAAATGCAGAAATAGGCAATTTTGGTACCTCTGAGTTTGCGTACTTGCGTGGTTTATGCAGCAATAATAAAACAAAAATCAAATTAAAACAAATATGCGAAAGGACTAACTTAGGGAACACGATGAAATCTGGTGTGGTCTGAAAGCCTTTAAATTGTGCAGAAATAAGCAAAACCATATATGAGAATGGTCCTTTAGGTACTGGATCATTCTGCTTACAGCACCAAACATGTAATTTCCCCTCCAACCAGGACTACATTTAGGTGGAAAGGAGTCATTTTACGTCTAACGATGGTCATGCAATGTAGGTTTTAATTATGCAACACTACTACTAGCGCATATAAAAAATGCTTTTTCGTCTGCATAATTAATTCCATTTATCAGTCTACAGTTCATGGGATGTCGGGAAGATTCAATGCTTTAAATGGATAAAGGAGCGGTTTAGTGTCCAGCAGAACGTGCAGTTTTGTGTCATTGGAGATGGATGGGAAGAATGTGAAGCAGCGGAAGCCATGAGATGGCCTTTTGTTAAAATGGATCCGTCGTGTTCAACCAAGTATCACAGGTTCCCGGGCCTCACCTCGAAACACCTTGATCTTTACCTTGCTGTTGTGTATGAAAACCACAATGATGACCAAGAGAATCTCAAATCCCCATCTGAAACTACATGACCTAGTCCAGCAATTCATTCTTGGATTATCATCGAAGTTACTGGTAGGAGAGTTAGACTTCCTTTATACTGTAAAAGAAAGCAAACTGAAGTTGCCTTGAGCTTGTCTACCCAAAACACAAATTGTTGTATGTATCATGTCTCTCAACTGAGGTCAAAGCTTCCTTTCATCTCCAAAGTTATGTACATGTTTTTTACATTAGTGCCTTTTTATTAGAGATGGAAAGTTTGCCTTTATTGAGTCTTGACTGTATAAAGTCTAGCTCTAAGTTTATTATAGTTAATCTCCCTTCTCTTTCTGACATCAATTTCTCATTGCTGCCACCGGAAAATTGCCAAAAACAATCACCATGAAAACTGTTAGAGCTCTGCTACCAGTACCGTGATTGGTGTGGCAAAGTGAAGGCGATAGTATCACTGGTTAAAATAGTTACGTTCTGCCAGTGAAATGTCACTACGTTTTAACTCTAAAGTGATATGCTCCCCCTCTAAATTTTTACCAAGACTTAAGGAGAAAATCCGTATATAGTACTCGGTATTAAAATAAACAAAGTGCATGCACATATAAGATCGTTTTCTTCCTAAAATATGGCTTATTCACTAGTAATAGGGGAAGTATATACTTTTAATGGGATCAAATAAGTTCTATTTTGAGAATAAAATACATGTAGTCCTATTTGTGTATCTTGCCTTAGAGAAGTTTTGTTATTTTAATCACGTACTATGAGTTAAACATTCATCAAATGTCATTTTTGTATAAAATACTCCATACTCCATTACTCCATAGTACTCGCTTTTAGTTAGAGAAGTTTTATTATTTTAATTCCTTAATATAGGTAAAGAAGATTTATTTCAGAAATAAAACATAGTTAGACTTATTTTTTTAAAAAATTTGTCTATGTTTTACTCATATTTAAAACAATTTTTTAAAATTAAAAACAAAATGGCTTGGATATGAAACTTTGAATGATGGGTGAATTGAATTGATTGAAATTTATAGACAATGATTGAGATATACAATTAGAACGGCGCCAAACCAATTACTGTAATGGAAAGTTTTCAAAATTTGTAGGACAGTTGAATAAAAAACTTGATGAAACTATTTTTAAAATGACATATACGTAGTACGTACAACTATTTTTAGTATATGTAGTTTTAGTATTTTTGTCTACAATATTTTTTGTTTTAACTTTTAACTCTTCCCAATGGTTTTTACTTTCGATTAACCCTTCAAGATGCTCTGCGGAGCCGGGCGACTTAATTAGATAGTAATTGTCCTGATAATTGTTTCTTTAAGATCTAAGAGCATCTACATCATGATCTCTAATAATCAATTATTTTATGATTCTTACCATTTAAATATTGTCATGTAATTAATTATAAAATAATCTCAAAATTCGTTTATCTCTCAATCACCATCTTCAAATAATCTGTTTTTTCTCTGCCCCTACATTAATTTCTATTGCATATACTTTTCAATTAATCTTAAAATAATCGAGATTCATATTTTGATTCCAGATTATTGTAGCAAATAATCCCACTAAACAATTTATGTCACTCAATGATAATTCTCTAAAAAAACAGTCATGTCACCAATTTAATCTCATAAAAATCCTCCCAATGAGGATGCCCTAATACTACATCCGTATATTTGTATTATTATGAAAATATTTTGAATAAGAAAATATTTTGATATAATTTTTATATTCAAAATAATTTTGTATTAAATATGTTATTGGTCAAAGTTGATTGTCATCGATAAAAAAAGTCAATTTGAGTAAACCGGGATGAAGGGAGAAATAAAGTACGAGCAAAAATTTATAACATATAATCCCTCCATCCCAAAATGAATTTCTCGGTTTTACCTACACACATATTTATGTAAGGTATAGTTTTGTATCGACTTTCCAAATATATCCTTACTTTATGCCAAATAAAATAAAAAGTGAGTAAAAAGTAAGAGCATCTCCAATGTTACAATGTGCACGGTGCTAGTGGTGGACTCGGTTCGGTTCGGGCCCGGTTCGGGCTTAGAACCGGCCGGGCCTCAGTTCTAGGATGGCAGGCCCGGAACCGGCCCGGAAAACCCCGGGTCCGGTTCGGTTCGGGTCACCCGCCCGGTTCACGGGCCGGGCCGCCCGGCGGGCCGGGCCGGGCCTATTTAATTTTTTTTAAATATTATATAATTAGAATAATTCTTATTACAATTACAATATATTATATTCGAATTGAAGTATATTTATTTCAAATAAGAAGTACAATTGTGAATTAGGATGAATTTAAAAAATGTACTACATTTTGTAATAAAAAATCAATCGGACTCTCCGCCTTCGGTTGTTTCCTCCATAAAGTGGCGGGAGGGAGTGATGGTAATTTCTTGAGTTCTTCGTTGGGCCTTCAACCAATCGTGAAATCAAACTAGTGTCTCAAGAGAGCTCGGGCTCAACCTCGTTCTATAATCGGTTAGGACGTTGCCGGCCGCACTGAATTCTTGTTCCACGGCAACGGTTGATATCGGCATTGCTAGTACTTGCTTAGCCATCTTTGATAAAATCGGGAATGTTCTTTCATTTTCCTTCCACCACTTAAGAACGTCAAAGTCATCACCAACTTCATAATCAACATTCAATGTTAGATACAAAGAAAGCTCGTTACCTGATGATGGATAGTCTACCCGGGGGTATATATCCGAAGGGTTATTGCGGGGAATAACTAAGAGAGAAGTCAGAGCAAGTAAATGTAGAGAGAGAGAGAGAGTGTATTATAAATGTGGAGCGTTTTCAGCGTGGTTACACATGGGGAAATGGGGTGCTAATTATAGTAGCAATAAATGCCGGACAGGGACACGTGTCAAGCGCTCATTGGCCGAGGGGTCACCTCAACTGGTTGGCGCTGGCAGCCGCATGTGGCCGCATTTAATGCGGCTGTTGGATGGGACGTCTGTGCAGGGTACGGTGATCTGTACGCATGTGAGGTGGATATCTTGTCGAGTAAGATGCCTTCGGCTATAGAGCAGTAGCTGAGGGCTCCTCCAACCGATGGCACCCTGGTGCCGAGGGCTCACAGTGCCGAGGGCTACTGTTTTCGCCGTTTTCTCCCAGTTTCTTAATTTGCTTGAGAAACCCGTTCTGTGATAGTTTGGAGCCTTCGGCCAGGGGGCCGAAGGCACCCCTGGTGCGTACTGTGGGCTGCTTGGTACTCTGGGCGCCGTGATTTGGGCCTGGTGGGCCTCCTGGGCCTGTTGGGCCTTCATTGGTGTAGTAGGAGTCTGTGGGTCGGGTGTTCCCGGGCCATATACTCCATCAGGAGTCCCTCACTCCTTTTGCCGAAAGGTATTTGAGGGAAAAGGAGTAATCTGTGCTTGTCCTTTGATGTTGTCCAGTCGTGATTTCTGAAGTTGGTGAGGAGTTGTTGCTTTTATGTCCCTGCCGAAGGCAGTCCCTCAGTTACCCACATGTCGGAACTTGAGGGCTTGCTTTGTTGTTTGCTGGAATTTCACTAACTTTGTAATTTAATGATTTTCCCGAGGGGGTTCTCCAGTCCCCCACTCCTTGAGGCACTTGTAAAGTGGTGAAAAGGAGTAGAGTAGTTGCGTTGCTGTTGTGGGCCGAAGGCTGACGCTTTTCGTTTCATTTTGGGGGGATGCCTCGTTAAAAACCTCATTAGAAAAAACCCTGTGGGAAAAAATCCTAATGAGGGAAAAAGAGTGCACCGGATTCCCCCAATGATGAATCGAAAATGTCAAACCTTGGTCAAAAATGGAGAATAACGGTAATGCCGAAGGCTTTTCTCTTTCTGAGGGTTCATGTGTTGATCAGCCGAAGGCTTGCTGTTGATGTCCTGGGGGTGCCGAAGGGAGCCCCTCAATCTGGGGATCGAGGGCTTGATGGATGAGGGCAGTAGTGGAGTTGTTACCGGGGGGTCCACTGTTTGTTGATTAGTTGGTGATGAAGATACCCGAGGGCTCCCATTACCTGTGTGCGATGGGTTATCCGTCAATGAAGGCAACTCCCCGGGGGCTATCCGGTTTTACAGTGCTGAGGGGAATCCCCGAGGGGTGCCCTGATATGATGCCTTGGGTTTCTGAAAGAGTGGTCCCGAGGGCGTCTGTTATGTGCTGTGTGGGGCACAACCCGGGGGCGCTTCTGGGTAAGTGTACCCGGAGGCTCTCCTTGATGAAGTGGAGTGAAGTAGAAAACCCGGGGGCTTCCAGAATATAGCCGTTGGAAATATAGCCGTTGGAATATGTAGCGTCAAATTTATAGCCGTTGGGGGGGGGGGGGGGGGGTACACGTGGAGTGTAGCCATTGGCTGCTGGCGGGCGGGCGTCACCGGTTGGGTGAAACGACGGTGCGTAATGATGGCTTTGGCTGCTGGGAGCCCGGATCTCAGCCCAAGCCCGAATCTGGGAGCCTATAAATACCCCAAGCCAGGGCCATTCCTCCTTTACGCATCCAACATCCCTAGCGAAGCTCTGCAAAAAATTCTAGAGAGAGAAACTCAAGCCTTCGGTCAAACTCCTTTCAAGGTCAGTGTCCCGCTTTCCCCTCAACACTTTTTGTAAGTTCCGCCCTCTGGCCTTAGATTAGGGTTAGGGTCCCGTAGAAATCCTTCGAAACCTTAGGCACTTTTCGTGGCAAAGAATGTCTTCCGAGAGCGATTCCCAAAACATATCGGGGGACCCTTCGGTTGGTGAGGAGCACGTTTCAGATGCGGAGTCCGTGAGCGAGCCCTCGGTCGGTGCTGATGCCGCCCTGGCCCGGGAGGTCCAGAAGGAACTCATTGTGGAGGTCGAAGCCGAGGGCTTCGAGCAAGAGTGCGAGGATGAAGACTTAGCCCTCGCCTGGCAAGTAGCGGAGGATGAGGCGCAGAACGAGAGCACGAAGGTAACAATTGCTGTCCTCCCCCCCCCCCCCCCCCCCCCCCCCGGGGGGGGTTCTGGGGAAGCAAGTAGCTCGGGGCCGCTAGATCCGATACCTCTGAGGGCGGTCTCCGGGTTGAAGAAGAAGAAAGCGAAGGCCGCTACCAAGAAGAAGGAGAGGGCTGTCGATCAAGGAAAGCCAGTGGACATGCCCGAGGGGTACAGTTGGTTGAATACTGAGGCTCTCGAGATCAGGTCGAAAGCCGATAGGGCAGATCTGTACGTGACTCAGCTGCACGTGGGGCCCTCGGCCGAAGTAGTGGAGCCAGGTCCTGACGATGTGTTGTCCAGGGCGCCCGAGGGGTGTATCGCCATTCACGTCCTCTCGGTTTCTATGGGACTTAGGTTCCCTCTGCACCCGTTCCTCCGGGAGTACTTGAGGTTTGTTGGTTTGGTCCCCTGCCAACTTACGCCCAACAGCCACTCCTACATTGCGGGGTTCCTCCAGCTCTGCAAGTCCCGAGGGGTGAAGCCCAGCCTGGATCTATTCTTCCAGAGCTTTAATTTGTGCCGGGGGGCACGAAAACGGCGAGGGATACGCAAACCTTCAGCAGATTGCCCGCTTCAAACTGTTCTCCGATGCTCCTTCTTCCAACAAAGGATGGAGGGAACGTTGGTGCTATGTAAAGTTGTGCGAGAACCCATTCCCGAGGGAGCTGCGCGATCGATTCCGAAGGCACGAAAAGATCAGGAGTGCTGCCCTCGAGAAAGACGACCTAAAGCTGGCCAAGTTCCCGGAGGGGAAAAATAAGAACGTGGCGATCAAAGATTGCACCCTCGAGGAGGATTTATACACCCTCGGGTTCCGGAGGTACCGTTTCATAGGGGAGACCGATGAGAAGTACCCTCCTTTCAATAAGGCCTTCGGAGGAGCCGGAGGTAGGAGCCGAGGGCTTTAGATTTTTGTACTTAGTTTTTTTTGCTTGGATGTCATTGTCCCTTCGCTTAGACCCGTCAGCCTAATCCTTTGTCGTATTTTTTGCAGGTATCCCCGTCTCCATGGTGAACGTGAAGGGCCTCGCTCACCTGAAGAAACAGGACCCGAAGGGGTCGGGACAGGGCAACCAGAAGCCCGCCACTGCCCTCTTCAAGAAAACCGAGGGCGATGCCGCTGCCAGCAAGAGGAAGGTGGCGACCAAGGGGTCCCCCCCGGCTATCAAAAAGCCGAAGAAGGGGGACATCACCGATAAGGAGCCCCCGGTCATCATTGCTGATGAGCACCCCGCCTCCGGGGTGCATGTGGAGAAGCCGTCAGGTGGAACGCCGGCGGGGGCAGAGGAGTTGCTGCCTGAGGTCCTCCAAGTTTCGTTTCCGAGGGGTACCTCCCTGGCCAGCGGCGCTGTCGACCCGGGGGCCATCTTGAGGGGCATAACCCCTGAGACGGATAGAGCTGCCCTCAGGGCTTATAATGATGCGGCCCTCGAGGACCACATTCTCCGCTCCTCCCTCTCTGTAAGTGTTCACTTGGCCTTCTCCATCTTCTCCTTTGATCATATTGTGTGATTGCCTTTAACCGTTTTGGTTGTTGGTCTGCAGGCTTGTCTAGCCCTCGGTGAACATGCCCGGAGGCTTCAAGAATGGCGCCTCCATAAAGCAGAGCAGGACGCCAAGATGAAGGAGTGCATCCTCAAAAATAAAGAGGCGGTGAAGCTGGGGGCCAGGCTAGAAGAGGAGCTTCGGCAAATGGAGCTAAGATTGGAGGCTGCAGAGAAGAGCAAGGCTGATGCTGAGGCCGCTGCTGAGGAGGCCAGGAGAGCTGCCAAAGAGGCCGAGGACTCCAAGGTGCTATCCGTCGCCAAGGCTCAGGAGGAGGCCGTTGATGCCTTCGTCGCCGAGGGTTGGAGAGCCGAGGGACGCAAGATGTGGCTGTCCTCGGTCGTGGAGGCATACGTCGAGGAATGGGCCGAGGGCCCTGGGTGGGAATGGATGGCCCGGAAGGGCAGAGAATATTATGAGGCCGGTGAATTCTTCACCCAGGCCCTCATCTACCGGAGGATGGCTCGGCACTTGGGCATTGAGCAAAAGGATTTTTCCCCTTCGGCATATGGCCTTCCTCCCCTGCAGCCTGATGTCCGTGAATCGCTCCCCGAAGGTGTACAAAGGCCCGACCTTGAGGACACGGAGCTGAAGAATGAGGCCGAGGACGAAGCTGTTGAGGCCGGAGCGGAGGCATCGTCGAGGCCGGCTGCAGAGGGCACCCCGGTGAATGATGTTGTTGAAGTTGTAGAGTGATTTTGTTCTTAGAAATCCCTGAACATATTTTGTAATGAACAACATTGATCCTTCGGCTTCGGCCTGTTTGTAATTTCACACTCACTTTTGTTTTTGATGAATGCATGCTGCCTCCGGGCTCTTCACATTTGAATGCGCCTTATGTTTGGAATGTATGCCTTCTCCTTTTTGAGTGTCTGTCTTCTCCTTTTTGAATGTATGTTTTAGGACTTAGAATATTTTCTGACTGTAGCTTGCCCCTGGAAGCCTTCGGTAGTTGGGCACCCTCTGCTGGATATGCAACCGAGGGTTCAGCAGGAATTTGGACTTAGAAAATTTTTCTAAGTGTAGCACAGCATGGGGCCTTCGGGTGTTTGTAGTAACCCAATTCCTAGGACTTAGAAAAATTTCTAAGTGTAGATTCTCCCTTGTGAGCCTTCGGGATATGGCATCCCTTCCTGATGTGTGAATTTTGGACCGAGGGCCCAATGTACAGGACTTAGAAAAATTTTGCAAATGTAGTATGTCACGTAGCCTTCGGCTACTGTGGAGCCCCAACTGAAATATTGGTTAGGCCGGGGGCCAATTCTTTAGGACTTAGAAAATTTTCTCCAGGGTTGATTGCTTGTGTACTGTAGCCTTCGATTGATAGGTAGCCTTTGGCTATTGGGTCCCTTCATAAGTTGAGGGTGAAATATGTAGGACTTAGAATGATTTCTAAGTGCAGTTTTTCCCTTGGGAGCCTTCGGGAGATGGTGTCCCTTCTTGATGTATGAGTAGTTGACCGGGGGGAAAACATGTAGGACTTAGAAAATATTCTAAGTGTAGATTTTCCCTTGGGAGCCTTCGGGAGATGGCATCCTTTCTTGATGTATGAGTAGTTGACCGGGGGAAAACATGTAGGACTTAGAAAATATTCTAAGTGTAGATTCTCCCTTGGGAGCCTTCGGGAGATGGCATCCTTTCTTGATGTATGAGTAGTTGACCGGGGGGAAAATATGTAGGACTTAGAAAATATTCTAAGTGTAGATTTTCCCTTGGGAGCCTTCGGGTGATAGGTGCCCTCTGACTCCACATCACTTCGCGAGATGTCCGGGGGCTGCTCATTCAGGACTTAGAATATTTTCTAAGCGTAAATTGATGTTGAATCCTGTTGTTGTGAAGAAAGCCAATGAGGAGTGTGTGCCCTCGGCATGAGGTAAGGGCCCTCGGCACTAGTGCGTAACAGGTGCCTTCGGTATTTGTTTGAAGGTACCGTTTTAGTGCACTTTGGATAGTCCAGTCCCTTTGTATTTTTGAAGCCTTCGGTGTTTGTGTGACCGGAGGTGACCAGGCAGTGGACTTAGCCGTTTCTTGATGATATTTGTTTGAGTAGTATCCTTCGGGAAATAGGAGCCTTCAATTACCGGAGGTGTCCCCGTGGGGAGCCCTCGGCATGTTGTGATCTGTTGGAGTGTACTCTTTGATTTCTCGCTGAGTCTACTCACCTTCACCCCCTCTCTCTTTTTTTTTTTGGTTGGTGGTGAAGGGAAGGCATCAAGAAACTTGGTTTCTTGGTAAGCCTGGGCCTATTAGGAGACCATCAGAATACACCAATGGCTCTCCTCCCTCGGGTTAACCTTCCGAGTTCCGAGGGGATCGAGGGTCGTTTCCTGGGCACAAGATATGGTGGTTCGTAACTTGCCTCCCCTTAGGGGATGGCGCGGAAAGTGCCTCATTTTTTAAAGTCGTCCCCTCGGCGCTAGACATAGTCCGTGGCCTGCCACACCCTTGGTGTAATACCCGAGATTAATTTAAGAGGATTAATAGTACTACTCATACCAACAGAGGTGCATCTCCTTTTAAGGGAGCTCATCACGCAAGAACTCCAAAGTTAAGCGTGCTTGCACGGGAGTAGTCTTGGGATGGGTGACCCCCTGGGAAGTTTCTCAGGGCGCGCATGAGTGAGGACAAAGTGCGCGGTAAAGGCTCGTGGTGGTTTGTGGGGACAGTACTAGAGGTCTAGAGTAACTACCTCAGGTCCGTGTGGGGCCCCGGGGTGTTACAGGTGGTATCAGAGCAACCCTGCGACAGTGTGCTGACCCGTTAGATATCGGGCGGGCACTTAGCGGGGCAAGATTCTGGGGTTTTATTGAGATTGGTTTAAGGGCGCAACGAGGACGTTGCGATCCTAAGTGGGGGTGATTGTAATACCCGAGATTAATTTAAGAGGATTAATAGTACTACTCATACCAACAGAGGTGCATCTCCTTTTAAGGGAGCTCATCACGCAAGAACTCCAAAGTTAAGCGTGCTTGCACGGGAGTAGTCTTGGGATGGGTGACCCCCTGGGAAGTTTCTCAGGGCGCGCATGAGTGAGGACAAAGTGCGCGGTAAAGGCTCGTGGTGGTTTGTGGGGACAGTACTAGAGGTCTAGAGTAACTACCTCGGGTCCGTGTGGGGCCCCGGGGTGTTACACTTGGGGTGGTGGCGCGGGGAGCGTTTCGGTTTGGAAGTCGAATCCTGGGCACTTCTCGTGCCTGTCATACCCTTGGGGTGATGACGCGGATATCGTTCCGTTTTTGAAAGTCGAATCCTGGGCATTTCTCATGCCTGTCATACCCTGGGGGTAGTGACGCGGAAAGCGTTTCAAGGAAGGGTTTTCATTTGCACACTAGTTGCAAATGGCCGGGGGCACTACGTGCCGCCGGCACCGATGGTGGCGCCTTCGGTATATGCGTCCTCGTGGGGTACGACTTTTAGAAACAACACTTGGTGTTAGTTTCGATGTGTAGCCCCCGGTACTTGGTACCGAGGGGTCTTCTGTAGGAACACTTGGTGTTCTCTTTTGTTGTAGTTGATGGAGGTGTCTTCCCTCGGTACTTGGTACCGAAGGGTCTTCAAATGAAACACTTGGTGTTTTGATTGGAGTGTTCGGTGCCGGAGGGCCTTCGGAGGAAACACTTGGTGTTTCCCAACAGATGTTTGGAAGTTGATAGGAGAACATATCCCTGGCACTGGGTGCCGAGGGGTCTTCTGTGAAACATTTGGTGTTTTTTCTTCGTTTTGATGTTGATGATGGAAGTGTACCCTCGACACTGGGCGCCGAAGGGTCTTCTGTAGGAACACTTGGTGTTCTTATCTTCGAAGTTGAGGGCGGGGATGTACCCTCGGCACTGGGTGCCGAAGGGAAATGAAACACATGGCGTTCCTTGTTGTTGGTGATAGGAGTTCCCTCCCTCGGTACTTGGTACCGAGGGGTCTTGACTGAAAACATGTGGTGTTTTCGCTGTTGTTGTAGGTGTTGATGGTGTCCGCCCTCGGCACTTGGTGCCGGAGGGGGGTTCTTCTCGTGGTGAGGCCTGGGGCCTGTAGTCAGTATGAGGGCTTGATGTCTTGAATGTATCTTCATTCTTCAAAAGTGGAGGCCTTGGGCCATAGGATAGTACATTCATTAGTTATGAGGGCTTGGCCGCTCTTACATTATTGGTAAAATTTAACTAAATGGTGTACATTCCAGTGTCTAGGGACTTCTTTCCCGTTGGGGCGTTTGAGCTTGTAAGTCCCGGGTTTGATGATGGTTGCTATGATGTAGGGGCCTTCGAATTTTGGTGCCATTTTTCCTCCCTCGGTTGGTTGGCTGGCTTCCTTCCTCCGGAGGACATAGTCCCCCACTTGGAATTCTCTGGTGCGAACTTTGGCGTTGATGTAGCTTTTGACTTGCCTTCGGTAATTTTCTGCCCGGATGAAGGCCTGCTCCCGGCGTTCTGAAATGAGGTGGAGGTCGAGGGCCATGTTGCTGTCGTTGACCTCGGGGTCATATTGGGAAGTGTGACTTCCGTAGGAGCTTTGGCTTCAAAACCGTAGCAGAGGGAGAAGGGTGTTTCACCTGTTGCTCGCCGAGGGGTGGTGCGGTAGGCCCAAAGGATGTTGTGGAGTTCTTCTACCCAACCACCGCCCTCGGCCTCCAGCTTCTTTTTTAGGCCCTCGAGCAAGGTCCGGTTGGCATTCTCTACTTGCCCGTTGCCTTGAGGGTAGGCAACGGAGGAGAAGGTGTGTTTGATGCCCCATGCCTCCAGAAGGGCACAGAAGGGGGCTGCCTCAAATTGTGTCCCATTGTCGGAGATGATCTGCTGGGGGACGCCAAACCTTGTGAGGATGTTCTTGAGGACGAAGTGACGGCACTTTGCCTCAGTGATGATGGCGAGGGGCTCAGCCTCCACCCACTTGGTAAAGTAGTCGATAGCCACGATAATGTATCTGTTGTTGGAGGTACCCCTCGGCAGAGGGCCCACAAGGTCTATCCCCCATCGGGAAAAGGGGACAGATGTGCTGATGGGGGCATAGTTGACCGCTGGCCTGTCGGGGGCTTTCTGGAAATGTTGACATGCGGTGCACCTTCGGGCGAGGTCAGCACAATCTCTGGCCATGGTTGGCCAGAAGTAGCCCTGGACAATGAGCCTTCGAGACATGGAGAAGGGTCCCTGGTGAGCTGAGCAAGTGCCACTGTGCACTTCCTCCATTGCGACCTCGACTTCGTCTTGATGAAGGCATCGAAGTAGCGTGCCATTGTAAGACCGTTTGTAGAGCCTTCCATCCTCGATGGTGTAGCTAGGAGCCTTCAGCTTTGCCAGTTTAGCACGGGTCTCATTCTCGGGTAGCTGCCCTGTGGAGATGAAGGTGGTGATATCTGAGATCCAATCCTCTTGGCGTTGTTGTATGTTCATCACAGGGCTTGCATGGATACTTGAGAGGCTGAGTTCCTCAATCTTGGCAATTTTGGAGATGTGCTCGGGGGAGTCGGCCGAGAGCTTAGATAATATGTCGGCCTCGGAGTTCTGAGCCCTCGGTATTTGAGTGAGAGAGTGTGCCTCAAATACCTTAAGCAACTCCTTGGCTGCTTCCTTGTATTGTTTCATTCTTCCCTCCTTAGCCTCATATTCTTCGGAGATTTGGCCGACGACCAACTTGGAGTCGCATTTGATGTGGATCTGCCGAGCCCTCATGTTGGCAGCCAGCCGAAGGCCACATAGGAGAGCCTCATATTCGGCCTCGTTGTTGGAGACTTTGAAGGAGAAGCGGATTGCATAGTAAGCTCTGAAGCCCTCGGGAGTAATGAGGACTACCCCTCCCCCGCATGCTTTGGTCGCGGAGGAGCCGTCAGTGTAGAGGGTCCACCAATCATCCGAGGCAGCCGAGGGCTCCCCGTCCGTGGCGGCCCTTGCGGTACATTCCGTCACAAAGTCCGCCAGGGCTTGGCCCTTGATGGCAGGCCTTGGACGGATGTCAATGTTGTACTGGCTCAAGAAGATAGCCCATTTCACCATGCGGGAGGAGCTGGTGGGGCTCCTCATGAGGGCGCCGAGGGGTTGATGAGTGAGGACCTGAACCAGGTGATCTTGAAAGTAGTGGCCCAACTTCTTGACAGTCCAAACGATGGCTAACACCGTTTTTTCCACAGGGGAGTACCTGAGCTCGACCTCCCTTAGGGTCTTGCTAACGTAGAAGATGGCATGTTGGATGCCGTCTTCCTCCCGGATGAGCACAGAACTGATGGCCGCCGGGCTGACCCCAAGGTAGAGATAGAGGGTTTCCCCTACTTTTGGTTTGGATAGCACAGGGGGTGAAGATAGATACCTTTTGAGCTCGTCGAAAGCCCCATGGCATTCTGGAGTCCATAGAAAGCCAGCCGTCTTCCTCATGATCTGGAAGAAGGGTAGAGACTTCTCCGCTGATTTAGATAGAAAGCGGTTGAGGGCTGCCAGGTGGCCCGTCAACCGTTGAACTTCCTTCACACTGCGTGGGGGCTCCATGTTGATGATGGCCTGGATCTTCTCGGGATTGGCCTCAATACCCCTTCGGCTCACCATGTAGCCCAAGAATTTGCCTCCTTGGACGCCGAAGGTGCACTTCTTCGGGTTTAACCGAAGGTTGAATTTTTGCATGATGGCGAAGATTTCCCGAAGGTCGTCAGCATGGCTGGAAGATTGTTTGCTCTTGACGATCATGTCGTCAACATAGGCCTCCATGGTGCGCCCTAGGACGGCTTGAAAGACCCGGGCCACCATCCGGGTGTAGGTGGCCCCTGAGTTCTTTAGGCCGAAGGCCATGACTAGGTAGCAGAAGATGCCCTCAGGAGTCATGAAGGCAGTTTTTTCGGCGTCTTCCTCGTGCATGAAAATTTGGTGATACCCTCGGAAGGCATCGAGGAAGGACATAATCTCACATCCTGCGGTCTCATCCACCAGTTGATCAATATTTGGTAGAGGGAATGGATCCATAGGGCATGCTTTATTGAGATCGGTGTAGTCCACGCACATGCGGAAGGTAGGGGGCTTCTGTGCGAGGACTACATTCGCAAGCCATGAGGGATATTTCACCTCCTTGATGTGCTTAATAGAGAGGAGCATGGCGACCTCCTTCTTCACAAACTCCCTCCTCTCGGCGGAGAGGGGCCTTCTTCGTTGTTGCACTGCTTTTGCCGAGGGGTCCACCTAGAGGCGGTGGGTGATGACCCATCGACTGATTCCCGGCATGTCCTCTGGCCCCCATGCAAAGACAGTGGAGTAGGCGCGGAGGGCGTCGGTGATACCGGTCTTGAGATCTTCAGGGAGCTGGGCTCCAATCTTCACGACTCTCTCCGGCTGGGCCGGATCGAGCGCAAAGTCTTCTACGTCCTCGGCGGGTTCAGCCCTCGGCCTTTTTTCTTCTTGGTCGATGGTTCCGGTGATGGTGTCAACACGGAATTCCGTCTTGCTTACCTTCTTAGTGACCTGAAGATAACAGGCGCGGGCGATCTTCTGATTCCCCCGGGAGTAGCCAATGCCCCCCTTGGCGGGGAACTTGAGGCAGAGGTGCCTCATGGAGATGATGGCCTCGAGGTCCTCGAGGGCTGGCTGGCCGAGGATAATGTTGTGGGCGCAGTCGATGTTGACAACGACGAACTCCACTTCGAGCTGGGCTCTATGGAGCCCGTCGCCGAAGATCACCGGGAGGGTTATTACCCCCTCGGAATCAATAGTGTCGCCGGTGAAGCCGGCAAGAGGGGTCTTAATGGGCCGAAGGGACCCCCTCTCCAGATGCAGCTCTCTCAAGGTGCTGAGGTACATTACATTGATGAAGCTGCCCGTGTCAATGTAAGTTCGGTGAATGATGGTGTCGTTTATCTCCGTCCGAATCACCAAGGCATCCCTGTGAGGAGAAGAAGTAGGGGGGAGATCTGTGTGGGTGAAGGTGATGGGTTCCTCCCCCAGTCGCTTTACCGGGGGCATATGAGTGACTTCCCCCACGTAAAGCGATTGAGCCCACTTCTTTCGCTGGCTGGTGGAATCGCCCCCTGTATTGCCGCCGGTGATCATGAGGATGTGGCGTTTTTTCTCCTGGTAGTGGGGGTATTCCTCCTCCTCTTCTTCCAAGTTTCCAATCTCCCTCTTCTTGCCGAGGGGGACGGTATTCGGGTTTACCCAAGCGTTCACCTTCGTGTGGTGCCCTCGGGGAGGCCCCTGATGAGAAGGTCCCTCCTGCCGAGGGCTCTGAACAAATTGGGACAGGTGCCTCGCTTGTATTAACCTCTCGATGGCCGTCTTTAGCTGATGGCAGTCATCGGTCCTGTGCCCCTGGTGCCGATGGAAGCGACAGTATGGGAACTGAGGGTTGATAGCATGTACCTCCGGGGGTGCGCGAGAATCGCTGGTTGATAGCATGTACCTCCGGGGGTGCGCGAGAATCGATGATAGCATGTACCTCCGGGGGTTGATAGCATGTACCTCCTCGGCAAAATCAAGGATGATGCTGACGGGGTGCGTCAATGGTGTCCGAGGGCGGTCCAGGAGAATGGGCTGTGCCCAAGTCTTAGGGATGCTCTTATAACCTCCCCCGGGCTTGGCTTGGCTTGGCCTTGCCGAGGGCGGTCATTAGAGGGTCCCGAAGCCTTGGGGTGATTTGGAGGAGCCCCCGGCCCTCGGTTATGCTTGTTGTCAGCCCTCGGGGGCTGCTGGTCCGGATGCTGGTGATACTTCTCCACCTCCTCGGCCTCAGCATATCGGTCCCCCCGCTGCAAAGCCCTTATGTAGTCGCGGGGGGGTTCAATGATGAGGCTCCTTGAAAAGTTGCCGGTGCGGAGGACGGTTTGTAGGAGGGCCAGGAGGGTCCCGTCATCAGCACCGTCGACCTTGTCGGCCTCCGTCCTCCAGCGCTCCAGGAAGTCCCGAAGGGTCTCATCCTTCTTTTGGCGTATGGTTAGGAGGTGGGAGAAGTGCTTCCTCGTGCGACGCCTCCCGGCAAATTGTGTCAAGAATCGCTGGGCGAGTTCTTGCCATGAATCAATGCAGCCCTCGGGCAGCCTGTTGAACCATTCGTATGCCGGTCCCTCTAAGGTGGAGAGGAACCAACGACACAAATATTCGTCCGACGCCCCTACCATCATCATGCTGTTCTGGTATTTGCTGTAGTGTTCCTGGGGGTCCGTTTTTCCGTTGTAGGGTTGTATGTGTTGCCCTCGGTATTTTTCCGGGATCCGGGCCGCCAACACCCTTGGGGTAAATGGCGTCCGAGTCCGGAGCTGGATGACGGGTTCTCCGGAGCCCTCGGCCACCTTCTTCTGTAACTCCTCCATCTTGGCCATCATGGCCTCGTATTTGAGATCTGAATGAGGGGTGGAGGTGGTGGCGTGAGCTTTGTTGGACTCCATTTCGTCAAGCCGGCGTTGGAGGGCCGTAATAATCTCGTCCCGGGGATCCTTCGGGAGGGTCTCCGCCCCCTGTGAACGAACCCGGGCCGAGTGGGCCTGGTTGATCTGGTGGCGAGCATCATTGGCATGAAGGGGTGCCTTGCCTTTGTCCCGAGGGGGACGTTCCTCGTCTGCCCTCGAGACAGACCCTCCGCTTTCCTGGGGCCTTTGGAGTGCCTTTCCTCCGAGGCGGTCTTGGACCGCTCGGCGGTCTGGCCCTCCTCCGAGCCGGTTGAGGGCGGAAGTGCGGGGCCTCTCCCTGTTGTCATTGTGGCGATCCCGGGACTGTACTTCCTGGGAGGACGTGTCCTGGGCCACTACCCCTTCGTCGTTCCTCACCCGAGGGGTGGGATTTCCGAAGGGGTGTGGCGGAGGGGGAAGTATGATGTTTTCCCCAACCTGGGGGTGAGCCGGAGCCAGGGTGCCGAAGGCACCCGGGTTCTGAGTGAGCGTTTGGATGAAGGCGGAGAGCGCCGATTGCACGTCGATGGTGAGAACCGGAGGGCTGACTTGGTCATCGCTCCGGTTTTTCTTCTTGGCCTCGATGCCGAGGCGGGCATCGGGGGCATTTTGTTGGATCTGAAGGCGTAGGTCGACAGCCGCCTGTTCCAGCCCAGCGATGACACCGCCCTCGGGAGCCCTGTGAGAGGCTTCGGGGGCGTTGACGTCGCCGAGGGCCAGGTTCTTGTCCTCTACGTTTTTTGAGTTGGCACGTGTTGTTCTCACCATTTTAACTAGGTATTTTGTGTTTTGTCGAGGGGGAGGGTTTCTTACTTGATTGTTCGACCTCTCAACGAGAGCACCAAATGATGGATAGTCTACCCGGGGGTATATATCCGAAGGGTTATTGCGGGGAATAACTTAGAGAGAAGTCAGAGCAAGTAAATGTAGAGAGAGAGAGTGTATTATAAATGTGGAGCGTTTTCAGCGTGGTTACAAATGGGGAAATGGGGTGCTATTTATAGTAGCAATAAATGCCGGACAGGGACATGTGTCAAGCACTCATTGGCCGAGGGGTCACCTCAACTGGTTGGCGCTGGCAGCCGCATGTGGCCGCATTTAATGTGGCTGTTGGATGGGACGTCTGTGCAGGGTACGGTGATCTGTACGCATGTGAGGCGGATATCTTGTCGAGTAAGATGCCTTCGGCTATAGAGCAGTAGCTGAGGGCTCCTCCAACCGATGGCACCCTGGTGCCGAGGGCTCACAGTGCCGAGGGCTACTGTTTTCGCCGTTTTCTCCCAGTTTCTCAATTTGCTTGAGAAACCCGTTCTGTGATAGTTTGGAGCCTTCGGCCAGGGGGGCGAAGGCACCCCTGGTGCGTACTGTGGGATGCTTGGTACTCTGGGCGCCGTGATTTGAGCCTGGTGGGCCTCCTGGGCCTGTTGGGCCTTCATTGGTTTAGTAGGAGTCTGTGGGCCGGGTGTTCCCGGGCCATATACTCCATCACCTGAGCTTTGTTCAGTAGCGGGAGTTGCTCTACTTTTTTTCAAAAGAGAACCAAAAGCGGATTTTAAAAGTGATTTTCCTTTAGATGAAGAAGATGTTCGTTGCATGGGAGGGGGTGCATTACCATATTGTGCATGAAATTCATTATACAATTGATGAAATAAATTACTAACCTCGTTGAATTCTTGTTTAGGGTCGATGGGATTATCATCGAACTCTTGAGTTGGAAAAAAAGAAGCATAATAGTAATCTATACAATTTGCCAAGTAAGGAAGTTTATAACGAGGATCAAGAACAAATGCAATACCATATATATGCGGAATATGTGAATAATATTTTAAAAACTTTTGTTTCATGAAATCACAAAAATAACTAACGTAAGTGGCGTCGGAAAATTCACAAAAGCGCCGGCGACATTAACAATTTTTTCACAAGTGTCGATGTCAGCCGGGTTTATAATATAGTTACAAGTTTGTCTTAAAAAAGCTGGAAAATGATCTTTATATCTAACAAGTACTTGAATTAAATTATAAGTACTATTCCAACGAATAGACAAATCTTTAGGAAAAGCACAATAATTCACACGTCTATCCTTCAAATATTGCCGCCATTGCATTTTTAGTGGAGTGTTAGCCCAAATCAATTTAATTCCCCCCTTGACTACCTCCAAAGCATTTCCTAATGTCGCTAAGCCATCTTGTACACACAAATTTAGAATATGACATGCACAACGTTGATGAAAAAATCTACCCATCAATGTAGAAGCACCACACAATTCACGTAATCTAGGTATAACAACAGTATTATTACTAGCATTATCAAAACCTACAGCAAACACCTTATCAATCAAATTATACTCAATTAAAATACGTTCAATGAGAATATAAATATTATCAGCAGTGTGACGATCATTGAATTCACGAAAAGCAAGAACACGTTTATGCATATTCCAATCATCATCAATATAATGTGCAGTTAGACCCAAATAATATAAATGATGATAAGTATCCTCCCATATATCGCTACAAATACTAACACGTCCATCAAAGTTTGCGAAAAATATTTGTAGTTTTTCTTTTTCCAAGTTATATTGCCTTATAACTTCTTTTTAATCGTTTTGCCACTATAATTTCTAAATTGAGGATTTAAAGTACCTTGAGCATAATCTCTTAAAGCAAGACTTTCGGAAAAAATAAAGGGTAAATTTTCTTCAACAATGAAATGAGACATACCAGTCAAATGTTTGTTATCATCATAGGAAAAATTATCAAAGGGTTGAGAATTTGCAAACCTTGATATTTGTGTTTGCTTCCCCTTTCCTTTGTCTATTTTCGCATACTCCACAAAGTGGGCGGACTTAAGATGTCTTTTGAGACTCCCGTATCCGCCAGAAATTCCCAAGCTAAACTCTTTCTTGCAATGATTGCAACTTGCGTACCATTTTTCGGTTTTTTCGTCTTTCCTTTTTGTATAATTGTTTTCAATAATAGGAGATTTAGATTTCTTACCAATTTGGGTTGTAGTCGTTGAAGGGCCCTCGTCCTCTTGCTCATCATCCGGAGTCCCGTCGCCCCCCGAGTCCTCCTCCCCATCGTCATCCTCGAGCTCCTCTTCATCGATGGTTGTCGGGAATTGTTGTTCTTGTGCAAAACGTGGATCATTTTGGGACAATAGGTGTTGTAGTTCCTCGTCGGACATCATCATACCATCTCGCCGTTGGTAATCCGTTTCAAAATCATCTCGACTTTGAAAAGAAGACTCGGCCCGCGCTTTACCTTTGCCTTTGCGTGAAGTAGATCGAGTCGATGCAATCTCCCTCTTGCGGTTGCGTTGGAGATTACCCACATCTACAGAATATCTACCACGCTCCATCTTTAAAATTGAACAAATATTAGCAATTAACTAATATGAGAAATGTAAAAATTAACTAGTTTTGTTATTTTAATGAGATATGTAGCAATTAACTAATATGAGAAATGTAAAAATGTAGCAATTAACTAATTAACTAATATGAGAAATGTAAAATTGTAGCAATTAACTAATTAACTAATATGAGAAATGTAAAAATTAACTAGTTTTTTTTTTACTTTAATGAGATATGTAGCAATTAACTAATATGAGAAATGTAAAATTGTAGCAATTAACTAATTAACTAATATGAGAAATGTAAAAATGTAGCAATTAACTAATTAACTAATATGAGAAATGTACAAATGTAGCAATTAACTAATATGAGAAATGTAAAAATGTAGCAATTAACTAATTAACTAATATGAGAAATGTAAAAATGTAGCAATTAACTAATATGAGAAATGTAAAAATGTAGCAATTAACTAATTAACTAATATGAGAAATGTAAAATTGTAGCAATTAACTAATTAACTAATATGAGAAATGTAAAAATTAACTAGTTTTTTTTACTTTAATGAGATATGTAGCAATTAACTAATATGAGAAATGTAAAAATGTAGCAATTAACTAATTAACTAATATGAGAAATGTAACAATTAAGTAGTTTAACTAATATTAATATGACAAATGAAACAATTAAGTAATTAAATAGATAAATGAGGAGTGTATATATAAATTAAGTAATTTATATATATATAGTATATATAAATATATAATGTGTAAATATATTATAAGTAATATATAATATAATGTATAACTATATATAGTATATATAAATATATAATGTGTAAATATATTATAAGTAATATATAATATAATGTATAACTATATATAGTATATATAAATATATAATGTGTAAATATATTATAAGTAATATATAATAGAATGTATAACAATATATAGTATATAATATAATGCGTAAAGAATTATAATATGAATTTGTATAAGTATATATTTATAAGTAGATAATTAATATTATAATATATAAGTAGATATAATAATTATATAAATTATATATATGTAGAAAGAATTTGGAGAAGATGAAGAATGAAGATGATTGAATATGAGAGATTGAGAGAATAGAGAATTTAGAGAGTAGGAAGAGTTGTAGAAGGTGTAAAAAATGTATAGAAAATTGGAGTATGAATAGGTTTTTTTTTTGTATACCCCACCCCTACCCCCACCCCACCCCCCCTAACCCCCCAGACCCCCCCTCCTATGCTCCCAATGGCTATAGAGCCGTTTGGGAGGTCTCCCAACGGCTAGTAGAGCCTTCAAATATTTAAAAAAAAAAAAAAAAATTGTGACCGTTGAGGCCCGGGCCGGGCCGGTTCACCAAAATATCAGCCCGGGCCCGAACCGCTACATGACCGGGCCGGGTGGCCCGAACCGTGACCTAACCGACAAACCGGGCCCGTTCGGGCCCGCACAGTAGCGGGCCGGTCCGGTTCCGGGCCGGTTGGCCCGGCCCGAGTCCCCTCCTACACGGTGCACATGTGGCATGAAGATTGATTTTATATCCTTACACAGAAGATTGATTTTATGACATTTTTCTCTCCGACTTTCCATGGTCTTATGTGCTTTTGGTAAGTTTTTTCCTACAATGTCAACCACAATGTCTACATCTAGACATTGTGTTTGACATTGTGAAGAAAAACTTACCAAAATGATATAATATTCTTCAATTAAGGAGAAAGATATTCTATTTATTGTTTTTCATTGGCTATCTTCGATGCCAGGTATGCACCGTTAACATTTTAGCATTGAAGATGCTCTAAGCGTAGTTGTGACTCTTTAGATAAAAGTGATTTCATTTTATAAAAATGAGAATTTCTTTTTGGGACATCCATAAAAGGAAAGCGCGAACTTCTTTTTGGGACGGTAGTACTAGCAAGTACTAAAGAGTCAACCGCCTTGGGTTGCTGCATGAACGACACGGAGCTGAAAACGTGGCACTCTCTTAGTGGACAGCCATAGCGGGTGCGGGCTGATCCGGTTTCCACCGCCTTTCAATTACCTTTACAAGCCGTCCAATCCGATCCCCTCCCTCCCTAAATGGCTATATATATATACGTACGGAGTATTATCCATACATATATACACAGATTAATTAATTAAATAATTAATCTTAATTGCGTTATATACATTAGAGGAGTACTTTTACGTAAGATCGATCGAGCACTGGAAGATGGAATCCGCGAAGCAGAGAGTTAGCAACGCAGCTTCTGCTGCCAAACAACACCTCGAAGCTTTTGCAGCCAAAACTGATGAGAAGGCACGAATTTCTAATTATTGTTCTAATTCATTACCTGTTTTTTGTTAGCCTTTCCGGCCATCTCATTTACAATTTAGACAAAAAATAACTTGTACTCCGTGTATCAAATTAATAATATTGCCTTCTTTTCAGTTACTCATGTTTAACTTTGCTAATTATAACATTTTTAAGAAAAGAATATTTTCATATCATTTCAAATTATAAATACTTTTGTTTACAAATATATACTCCGTACGTACTATCGTATAAATAATCCAAGTTTAGCACTTTTGTCATCAAAGATGGCCAACTAATAGGGGAAATGTACTACTACAATCAGGGGCCGGGCCAAGGGGGTCATGGTGGTCAGTCGACCCGTTGAAAGTTTGATCCGCTGAAAGTTTGAGATTATAGAGTTCTAAAGTATCTTCGATTTGATATATTAGGATCCCGTAACTCATTATTTGTTACGGTTAAGTATATGATTAAGTATATTTGTTCGAAATATATGGTTAAGTATACGGTTAGTTTTGCAATTATTTGTTCGAAGTACGGAGTATATGGTTAGCTATAAAAGGTATAGCTTTCACAAAATATACCGTGTATATTATTTAAAAGAGTGGAGTTTTAACTTTTAAGGACGAAAGACGTAATTTGTAGTAAAAATTCTTATAAAAAATATTTTGAAATTTTATCGGTCTGGGATCTAGGACCTTAAAGATATAAATTATCAATTCAAGATAGACCTAACATTTCATACGTTTTGATTTATTTAATTTTTTATTAATTCCGTTGTTAATATTTGATGAAATTTTCTTCATAAAAATTTATTAGTTTAATAAAACTGAAAAACTATCGATCTAGGATCTAACATTTCATAGGTTTTGATTTATTTAATTTTTTATTAATTCCGTTAATATTTGATCGAAATTTTCTTCACAAAAGTTTATTAGTTTAATAAAAATAAATATTATTTAAATTTTTTAAAATAAAAATAATAATAAAATTTATGAAAACTTAGGTCCTAAATCGATAGTTTTCAATCATTCGGGTCCTATCCTAGATTGGTAGTTTTTCATCATTTGGGTCCTATACTGATAAATTTCGAGCCCGTTTGGTGATCCCTTTTTTCGACTTATCAGGCTCATCAGCCAGCTTTTTCACCAGCCAGCTTTTTCACCAAACACGTAATTTTTGGTTTCACGTGTTGAATTATGTAATAAGCAGGAAAAAGTAAGACTGAAGTTACTTTTCTGGCTGTATTGGCTGAAGTTTATTGGCTGAAGTTACTTTAGAGGATCATTTTAGCTATTTTTTCATATAATTTTTTATTTTATTTATTTATAACAAATATTTTAAATATATTTTTATGAATCAGCACAATAAGCCAATACATCAATTTTAGCTAGAACTTCATAAATTTCAGCCAATTTAGCCAATTTAGCCAATTTTAGTGTTACCAAACAGGTTCTTCATCTTTAGGTCCGGAATTGATAGTTCGTCTATCTTGCCGGTCCTGGATTGATAAAATTCCAAATATATTTGATCTATAGAAAGTTTGTTGAAATTTAAAACTTTGGCTCCCTTAATTTAAAATGTTCAAGATTGATTAATGTAATCATAGATTTCTAGATTTCATACGGGATTAATCTAATTGTGGTTTGATAGGTTGAGAAGGCGAGGGCGAGGAGTAAAGAGGAGAAGGAGATAGCGGAGGAGAGAAGAAAAGCAAAGGAAGCTGAGGCCAAGATGAAGCTTCACGAAGCCAAGGCGCATCACGCCGCTGAAAAGCTGCAAGCCAAGCAAGCTCATCTTCCAGCCGCTGCAGTAACGCCGCACCTTACCCATGGCGGCGGCCAAGGCCACCACGGACCCACCATTGGTACAGTGGTTCCTTCCACTGGCACGGCCGCGCCGGCATACCCTCTCGGAGGCCATCCCCATGGACATACCAGAAATATGTAGCTAGGCAGCTAGCAGCTAGCAGCTAGCTAGCTCAACGTGAAAATTAAATTGGTGTTTGTGTTTTGATGATGTTCCTAGCTTTATATTTCTTCAACGTTTGTATTATATCCCTTTAATTTGTCATAAAGTGTCTTTTTTATTTAAAATGTTTATGGATTGCTTTTAAAAATGGATTACTTTCATATAAATTGTGATATTTTAAACAATTTCATATTCAAACACATTATATAAATTGCTTACGAGCCTATATATAGTATTTTTCTTAAAAATTATTATAGGTACCCATAATTATCGTAAACAAAAATAATAAAATTAAGGAGAAAATAATTAAACTACTATCTCTACCCCAAACTTGCCCCAAACTTGTTTGTGTTAATTAAATACCCCCTCCTTTACCTGCTGACCTAAGCATCTAGGTGGAAAAATAATCCACTCTGACAATGTGTTTAGTGCTACATGTAAACTCTTCGTACTCCTCTGCGCTTTCCAGAGACCAAATGGCGAGAACAATGACTAGGGTTTACTTCTACTGAGAGATGCGAACGCAAGTAATCGCTTCTACTTACCTGCTTCTACTTGCCTCCTTAGTTTGATTCATAAACTAGGGTTTATATAAGGGTGAACTATGGAAGTGCGTAATTTCGAAGAAGGCAAAGTGAGTGAAGAGAGTGAGAGTAATGAAAGAGAGGATATTGGGAGTGGGGATAAAATCCAAGTTGGTACGGAGTAAATATTTATGTTAGTATTATTTTTATTTAAAAATTGGGTTTGAAAGAAACTAAAAACATATTTCATTTATTTTTTGAGTTGGCACTACAAACTAGTGACATGCTAAAAAATTATATGGTCATTACAAACGGGACAACAGAAAATTCGAGATAACCTTCCAATGTTCCAGTCACTACGAACGTACGATACCGGAATATATCGGAATAATACTACGAGATGAGGATTCCTGCCTAGCCCTATTCACGATGACTCATTTAGGAGATGAATAATTAATCACTTTGTTGGTCTTATTGCTTTTAACCCCTATATGCTTTTGACTACTTCTTAATTCTTTGTTAATGATTTAAGTATAGTTATTGATGGGGTTATGGGACTAGGCCCAGAGCCTAATCGCCCCAGGCCCCGAATATGCATGGACCAGCAGGCCCAAGCCCAACAACCCAGAACTCGAGTCGGCCCAACCGATCAAGCCAATCAAGGAACGGAAGCCCAAGAGAGCCTGTCGTCCAGTCCAGCGGAGAGCCTGCCTTCCAGCCCGGCCAGCGGCCTGCCTTCCAGCCCGGTCAGCGGCCTGCCTTCCAGCTCGGTCAGCGGCCTGCCTTCCAGCCCAGTCAGGAGCCTGCCTTCCAGCCCGGCCAGCGACCTGCCTTCCAGCCCAACCAGGAGCCTGCCTTCCAGCCCGACCAGCGGCCTACCTTCCAGCCCGGCAAGTGACCTGCCTTCCAGCCTAGCCAGGAGCCTGCCTTCCAGCCCGGCCAACAGCCTGCCTTCCGGCCCAGCGGAAGCCTGCCGCACGAGGAGCTCAAGCGTTCTGTCTGCCAGCCAGGCCGACCTGCCAGTCAACCAGAAAGAGTAACGGCCAACAATCAATGCACTATTAATTATGTATTTAATTCTGTATTAATATTGTAATTAATTTAGCCATCATTATGTTCGGTAGTTACCATTTGTAATCGCCTATAAAAGGCAATTCGAATTTCAAATACAGATATGCTATTTCTGGCAACTAAATCTCCTAGCTACTTTCCATTCTCGTTCTTGCTTTCCTAGTTCCTGCTTGAGTGTCGTACGTAGCTTTCCTAAAAGCCTACGAGCGTCCTATTTTGGACCAACATTGGTGCTTTCATTGAGAGCCTCTATTATTGTCTCTCACATTGCTCGAGTAGGAACACAAAGGAAGATGGCTGGAATTGTGTCCCGACGTGACCATGTCTCAATCCACACCGAGGAATCCACTCGGCCTAGCCGCCATCGTTCCCCCGACAACCACGGACAAGGCAGGGGGGAGTTGCGCCAAGGTGACCTTCGGAACCGGTTGTCAGGCCACGGCGACCGGAGGGCGACGCTCAACCACACCCAAGGTGAGCGCTCGGTCCGCAGCCGGCGAGGTGGAGGCCGACGTCGTGCTCTGTGCGTGGACCCGACTCAACTCAACGTTAGGGTGGAAGCCCTACAGGAGGCGACTCGAGTTCTGGAGGCCTTGGCTCAAGGTTTCCAGCAGATGGTGTTTGGAGGAAACGTGGATGAGCCTACCCGTCAACAGACGCCTGCAGATGTGGAGGTGTCCTCCAGGCGGCGTGATGGGCGACGCTCTGGATCCGACCAGCGCAGAAGGGAAGAAGTTTCTCAGGAGCTTAGTCGGTCCCATCGGCAGGCGGGGAGGGGCGCTCAGCAAGGGCACTCAATGCAGATGGAAGGAGGCGAGTCCTCTCGCCACTCTCACCGTGCGAGCAGCCGGACTGGCTCCATGGAAAGGCAAAACGTGGGGGCCCGACCTCACATGCACAGGCGACTTGGAGGCGCCGCTGGACATGCCCAACCCTGTGCTAGGGCTGTCCAGGGGAACCCACCGCCGGTTGAGGTGGAAGATCTTCGACAACGCCTTGACGAGTTGAGAAGAAGGGTCGTCGGGGGGAGCCCTACACGGTCGACCTCCGGATACCTGAACCTTTCACCCAGGCAGTCATGGATGCGCCATTGCCAAGGGGCTACAAGGCTTGCACCATCGAAACATACAAGGGCACTTCTGACCCCCAACATCATGTATCGTAATACCTTTCCTACATGGTGATGATGGGGTACGAGGACGCCATCCGATGTCGCGGTTTCTCTGCCACCTTGGATGGCCCGACTCGTGAATGGTATGACTCTCTACCCGACGGGAGTATCACAAATTTTCGTGAGTTGGCTCAGCGCTTTCTCTTGAGGTTCGCGAGCTCCCGAGACGTCAAGAAGAACTTCAGCCACCTATTCGGCCTAAAACAGGGGAAGAAGGAATCATTGTCCACCTTCTTAGTGAGGTGGAGGACCGAGTCAGTCAAGGTTCAGGGCCTTGATGACAGGACCGGGGTGGCCATGCTCACAAATTCTATCCGGTCTGACGAGCTTTACAAAGATTTTGTGAGAAGTCCCCCTACCTCGTACGAGGAGGCGCTCGGTCGTGCTGATCGTCAAGCTAAGGCAGGGGACGCCTTGCAGAGGAAAAGAGATGAGGAAGAAGGCACAAAGGAATATAAGAAGAAGGAAGCTGGTTCGGGCCTGAGAAAGTTGATGGCAAAGCAATCAACAAAAATAACAAGTACAAAGGTAACAAAAGCAAAGGCAAGGGCAAGGCGGACGTCCCGAGTGGACCGCTCATGCCTGTCAACCAATTGACTCCACTTGCTCAGCCGGTCGGGGCCATCCTCGACTACGCGGAAGATCAAGGTTTGGTCGACTTTCCGAAGGAGTGTGACGTGTTGACCGCCAAGCGCAACCACGACCAATATTGTCGATTCCATCGGAGAGCAGGGCATGATACAGATGATTGTGTCATTCTCCGACGGCAAATTGAGGAATTCATCCAGAAAGGGTACCTGGGCCAATTCGTTGGCAAACAAGGAGGCATCCCGCATAAGAGAAGCCTGATGTGGCAGCGGCCCGACCAAGCTACCACATCAAAGGAGAAACAATCTGCCAAGAAACGAGAGCTCGACGCCTTCTATGAGGATGACGATGCCGACCTAGGGGACGACTCCCGGAAATACCATCGATGTTCATTCATATTCGGGGGACCCCAGGGAGGTGACACCTCTGGAGAACGGAAGCAGTGGGATCGAGCCCTGTACGTCGGGGAGATAACCAGGGCTCCCGCTGACAAGAGGGTGAAGAGGGATCCAATCTTCTTCACCAACGCAGATTTGCCACTGATGCGTTCACCGCACAGGGATGCCTTGGTGATCAAGGTCGAAATCAACGACACCATCGTCCACCGAGTCCTGGTGGACAATGGGAGCTCTGTTAACATCATGTATTATGACACCTTCCAGGGTCTCGGCTTGGACCGAAAGGACTTGATCCCGGTAAGAACCCCACTCTTGGGCTTCACCGGGGACTCCATTGAGTCAGAGGGTAACATAATCCTCCCCGTGATGGTGGGCTCTGAGCCCTGCATGTCCAAGTTAGACGTTGGAAGAATGCCATATTCGACATGATTGGCCAAAATGGAATGAAGCTATCAGGCTAAATTAAAATCACTTGAAAACGTGATATTTTTGGACCGATGGTCCATACGCCCAAAAGGCGTAAAACCAATGGGTTTTGAATGGGTATTTGTGCGTAACGCAATGAAAAAATGAAATCATAAGATATAAAGCCCGACTTGTTGCCCAAGGGTTTTCTCAAATGTTGGGAATTGATTATGAAGAATCATATTCTCCAGTAGTTGATGCAACTACATTAACGTTTCTCATTGGCGTGTCTGTTTTTGAAAGGATGCAAATGCATCTAATGGATGCGGTGACTGCCTATTTATACGGTTCACTCGATACAAACATTTATATGAAAGTTATATTCAAAATGCCTGGAGCTTATAGTTTGAAACCTCGACTCATGTTTTCCATTAAACTACAAAAGTCATTGTATGGACTAAAACAATCTGGACGAATGTGGTATAATCGTCTTAGTGAATATCTTCTCAAAGAAGGATACAAAAATGATCCAATAAGTTCATGTGTTTTCATTCGGCGATCAAATTCAGGATTCGCCATAATTGCAGTATATGTTGATGACTTAAACATTATTGGAACTTCTGATGAAATTGAAAATACTGCAAAATATCTTATGAAAGAATTTGAAATGAAAATTTTTGGGAGAACCAAATTTTGTATAGAACTTCAAATTGAGCATTTGAAGAATGGAATTTTCATTCATCAATCTAATTACACCGAGAAAGTCTTGAAGGAGTTCTACATGGACAAAGCTCATCCATTGACCTCATCAATGGTGATTCGATCTCTCAACATACATGATGATCCATTCCATCCCCGAGAAGACAATGAAGATATACTTGGTCCCGAATTACCATATCTGAGTGCTATTGGAGCTTTCATGTATTTAGCTAATAATACTAGACCAGATATTGCATTTTTCTGTAAATTTATTAGCCAGGTATAACTCATGTCCAACAAGG